GGCCTCTCAGACCATCAGTCTCGGGGGCCTCCCTAGAAAAGTGTAAATGTGGATAGAAGGCCCCCCTCAGATTCATTAGGAGTGGACCTCTCTGACTCAGGGGCCTCTTGTAGCCAGTATGAATATAAGAGCCTCTCACACCATCGGTCTCAGGAGCCTCTTCTGACTAGTTTGGATAGAGGGCCCTCCCAGACCACCGGTTTCAGGGGCCTCCAGTGGCCAGTTATATGAACAGAAGGGCCTCACAGCCATCAGCCTCGGGGGCCTCTTCTGACTGGTGTGAATATGAGGGCCTCTCATACCATCAATCTCAGGGGCCTCCTCTGCCTAGTGTGAATATAAGGGCTTCCCAGGCCATCAGTCTCAGGGGACTCTTCTGACTGGTGCCGGATTGAGGACCTCCCAGACCGAAAGTTTTGGGGGTCTCCTGTGGCCAGTATGAATAGAAGGGCCTCTCAGTCCATCAGTCTCATGGGCCTCTTCTGCCTGGTGTGATTATAAGGGCCTCTCAGGTCATCAGTCTCAGGGGCCTCCTCTGACTACAGTGTAGATGGATAGGCCTCTTAGACCATCAGTCTCAGGGGCCTCTTCTGACTATTGAGGATAGAGGGGCCTCCTCTGACTAGTGAGGGTAGGGGGCCTCGGCTAGATCGCCAGTGTCAGGGGCCTATTCTGACTAGTGTGGATGGAGGGGCCTCCCAGACCACCAGTCTCAGACGTCTGACTAGTGTGGATAGAGGGGCCTCCCAGACCGCCAGTGTCAGGGGCCTCCCCAGACCAGTGTGTATATTAGGGCCTCCTCAGATCCACTAGGGCCTCTCAGGCCATCAGTCTCAGGGGCTTCGACTGACAAGATGAACAGAGGGCCTCGTTGAATCCATCACGGCCCCTTGGAGTCCGTGCGTGGGGATTCGTGGAACTTATTTTTACCGAGTTTGTTTATTCTGGAAGGTGACGACGTCCTCTCAAATCGAGACGAGGGGCCTCGAGTAAAAAGTGGGTGGGCCAAAACACATGGTTGGCCCCCCACCTCGAAAAGTGGGTGGGCACTTGCCCACCTGGCCCCCCCTGTTCCTACGCCTATGTCTTCATCTATGTGAGTGACCCCCACTGCACGTGCAAAATACAACAATAAGAGGTGCCAAATTTGTTCCCATTTCAGTAACTCGGTAATTACTGGGGCGATTTCGCTGAAACTTGGCATACAGGTAGGCACCCACCAGGCAATGCATTCCCATGTGTTGCGGTTAGGGTGCTACTGCACGTGCGCACGTGCAGGGGGCGTTTCCAGATCTCGAGAACGGCTGGGCCGATTGCGCTCAAATTTGGTACACGGTTAGGGACCGGTTAGTAGGGTGCCGTGCAAAAGTCATTTTGGACCCCGTTTGCACGTGCGCACGTGCAGAATGCCGCTTTCAGATCTCAGGAACGGCTGGACCGATTGCGTTCAAATTTGGTACACCGCTAGCGACCGGTTAGAAGGGTGCTTTGCACAAGCCCGTTGGAAGTACCCTCTCGCCCTTCTGCACGTGCAGGGCTCACTATCTCGCTCGCTCGTTCTTCGCCCAAAAGGCGTTTTACTGGTATTCTATATAGGCATATTAGGTATTTATTGCACGCATGATTGAAATAATTTTAGTAAAAAAAAAGGTCGGTACTGTCCGTTGTTTGTTCATCATCAAAGCACATTGCAGCGTTGGAATACAGTATCGAGTTTATTTATTCAGCAATCTTAGTGATACCTAGCAGGGGCGTAGGCAGGGGGGGGCCACTGGGCCATGGCCCCCCCCTTGGGCGCCGAAGGCGCCCTTTGCGATTGGAGGGCGCCGAAGGCGCCCTCCAATCGCAAATGCAATTGTGATATAATCGAATCGAAAAACAATCGCGACTGGAGGGCGCCCTCCAATCGCGAATGTGTTTACAGGGAAATACGGATGGAGGGCGCCCTCGGAGGGCGCCCATCCCAAATACGCCCTCCAAATACGGTTGGAGGGCTCCCTCGGGCGCCCTCCAACCACATTTGTAGGCTGTAGCTCTCTAAGCGTAACGGTGGTCGCCTATGTAAGCCGCTGTCCTGTAAATAAGCGCCCTCTCACCCGAAGGCGCCCTCCTGTAGGTCGCCACCCTGCTACACATTGCCGCCCTTCTGCTGATCGGCGTCCTCATAATTATTGGCGCTCTCCTACCTATTGCGCCCTCATGTGAAATTTTGAAGGCCGCCTTTCTCCCATTTGGCACCCTCTTGTTCAGTGCCGCCCTCCTACCTATTGGTTCCCTAGTCCTTCCTGTTGAATGTTAATCGGGGCCCTTCTCCTATTGGCGCCCTCGTGTAGATCGCCGCCCTCCTAACCACTGGCACCCTCCTGTTGATCACCGCCCTCCTATCCACTGGCACCTTCCTGTTGACCAGCGCCCTCCGCACAGACGCCCTCCTGTTCATGTCATCCTCTTGAGCAAAGGCGCCCTCCTCACCATTGCCACCCCCATTTTAATCGTCACCCTTCCGCTCATTGGCGACTTCCAGTTGATGACCGCCCTCCCACCTATTAGCGACCTCTTGTTGATCGCCACCCTCCTATTGGTGCTCTCCTGTTCATCGCCACCCTCTTACCTGGTGGCGCCCTCCTGTTGATTGTTGATCGGCGCCCTCCTACCTATTGGTGCCCTCCTGTTGATCGCTGCCCTTCTATCCATTGGCGCCCTCCTGCTGCTCGCCAACTTCCTACCTATCGGTGCCCTACTGTCGAAACTCGGGATGTTGATCGGGGCTCTTCTACCTATTAGTGCCCTCCTGTGGATCGCAGCCCTTCTACCTATTGGCATCATCCGTTGATCGCTGCCCTCCTATCATTTATTTACTCCTTTGGCATGTTTTTCAACTTAGTCGTTCTATTGCACATAGTTGATGTCTTGCCTGTGAAAACTGCCACAAATGAACGTGCATTCAGCACAATGAATGAAGTATCTATACCTACCAAAACTATCTACGCTCTACGATGCATAAAACACGTCTTTGGGATTGATCCTACTTTACGTGCATCATGGCATCTATATGGATTACGATTAAGTATTGTCAACAGGTTCGGGCGCAACAGCAGGCATCTGAAGTTTCGGTGATTGAAACTGGTTATGTGGGTACACTGTATGCATCTGTGAGAAGGCTATGAAGGCTGGTCTGAGGTAATTTGGATGATGTTTACGCATCTCGCGCTCCGGTATCAATCCGATACGGTGATCTGGTGCGTAGATATGCCACCGCCAATAAACTTTTATACATCGACACCCATGAGCCAAGCTTTCTGTACAGTTTGTGTGGCAGCGCGGCCCGACCAAACCTTAGGTATTTTTTACACCTTCAAATTTGGTAAAAGAGCGAGAGGAGCTTTGAACAGTGATCGTATAAAAGGCGTGCCTAAAAAAGCGGAGGAAAAGGTTGTTTTCAAAAATTTCGCGCGCCTTCGGCGCAGCATTTCAAGAACACTTGACCTTTTGTGACCTGGAGTATAAAGAATACACACGATGCAAAATCAATGCAGCACGACCTATACGAGGTTACGCAAAAAAAAAAAACTGGTGGCATGGTAAAAAACGCCTCCCAACCCCCCAACCCCCACTGAGCGATTTTTTATCTCGCGACCGTATGGCGCCCTCCTTGGGTGAGGTGGCGCCCTCCAAACCCTTGGCCCCCCCCTTCGCGATTTTCTAAATACGCCGCTGATACCTAGTGTTCGCACTGATAGCCCTGCTTTTTATTGTTCTTTATCTTAGTTGTACTGTGTATAGGCACCACTCTGACACATAACGATACGAATGTTTTAGGGACTTTGAAAACAGGTTTTATTGTTGCCCCAATTGCTTGGTATGTACGAGTGCAATCATATCGAACGAGCGCGATACAGGACATTGTTTTTGTTGCAGCATAGTTGATGCGGATCCTTAGGTTGGTAGACACTAGACGGGGTGACTCCGCCGTATCGTATCGATCGATTCGCGGCGATATTCCGTTTGATTTTACTCATTTTGGTCGGCTATGTGAGTCGTTACGGAGAGAGACTGTTGGTACTTGATGATTCGTAATACGGTTTCGCATCAAAAGGAACGCTTCCGTCTATCATTTGTGTCTACTTTTTCCCGTTGTCTCCTTTCCTTCTCCTATTTACTAAAATTTACAACACAAATCTGTTATGCATGCATTACATCACAACAAGTTGCATTACGCGCCCAAATTATCACACCATACGCACCAATGAGCAGGACGATGACCGTTGGCAGCGCGGACCGAGGTGACGTCACCATGTCGGCTGTCTGACGTCACTCCACCGTCCGCCGCCCCTCCGCGAACGCCAGTGGCGCCGGCGGAGCTCCATCTCCCTTTATACCCCGGGGTGATAACTGGGTCTGCAGGGAGGCTGCACGGACCGTCTGTCGGGTGTGGCGCGGTGCCTTTTCAACCTCAGCTCCCTTGTCGCCCGACCAGCGTCACACGCAGATGGGGGCGGAGAGCACGACTGATACGTGACCCGGGAGTCGAGCTGTCAGGGGATCAGCTGAGTGGGGTGTGACGGCTGGCAAATGCAATGAACTCAGCTCATGGTAGTGACGTTTGCTTAGTGAGTCAAATGATACCTATCGCATGCTATGACGTTTCTTAATTCCTATATTGGTTTTTTATTAACGTTACATTTATTATCAGGCCTGACCTGCTCATCGACGACCCACTGCAAAGCACGACGGAAACTTATGGGTGAGACGTGCGGTGCGCTCTTCTTTTCGGTATTTCCTAAGGACACAGTTTTGCTAGAACAGTGTCGGACTGGTGAAAACGCTCAGTCTTGGCCAGAATGTCTGCTGCTGGGTAAACGTAAATGTGCGCTGCGCGGTGTGCAGTGACCTGTACTGTGCAGGCTAATTTGCACTGTACTTAATTAACCATCTCTATTAATATGTGCATTGTCGTCGATAGTTTACCGTCGGCTGTCAGAAGCGTGATTGGGAAGCAATTGATGATCATATAAACTTTATTACTCGTGCAGCTGTGCACTGCATTCGCCAGTTTGCATGTCACATCAACTGTCATTAAACCAGACATCGACTGCCAATTGTCCGACGGACAGTTTCAGTTATAAACGGTTCTGAACGACAGAGCACCTACTCGCCGTGTAACTGATCAGCCCGCCGCTTATGCCGGTGTGCCTCGGGTGAGCCTAATGAGGCCGATAGTGGGTGGCCGCGGCTGGAATTGCCGCCGGCACGGGGCCGTCGGTGACGGCGGGGGCGACGCTGCGCGCGCAGCGGGCCGCGCTGCGTCGCTCTCCCCCGGATCGATGGGCGCCCGTGACGCCGAGCCGAGCGGGCCGCTGCCGAGACCGACCGCCCTGAGAGGGACAACAGAACACCATGGAGCAGGGGTTCTCGTTCCACGGCGAGGGTTCTGTCGGAGGAGGCCTGCGCGGCCTTCTGGGCCAGGTGGGCGACCTGTTCAGCCACTTCAGCCGTCACCTGGCGCCCGCCTACCACCACGACCGCTGTGAGAGGTGAGACTGGGGCGCGGGGCTGGGCGCTGAGGGGAAACCGCTCGCAAATAGGGCACAGGGTTGCATGGTTGTTATTCAGAGATGCTGGGAGAGATGGCTGTTATGCAGATCATTCATGAGCTGCTTACGGTTATGAAGGATTGTAGGCTGCGAAAGGCCGCGATCAGCTGTATATTGACTGTTTCTTTCAGATCGCTACAGATGCGCCTGTATACCATGCACAAAAGGGAGTTTGTGCTGCTGTTCGCGGGCTTCTTCCTGTCGTTCTTCGTCATCATACTCATCGGGCTGGCAGGTGAGACAGCCAAGTCTGTACACTATACGAAATAGGTAGACGGGCTCATTATCGGCCTCATGCAGTCGAACGGTGTAGGCTAGGCGGTCCAGGTATCATGCTCGACCTTTTTATTGTCCAGCGTAAACAATCCACAAATACCCTTGATTGTAGGGCTCCTGGCTCATTTATCGTTACATATTTGACAAATTTCGTCGAATTACTTTTTAGCGTCTTCCGTTTCTCTTCCCACCAGACGCTTACCATTCTCTCCCGCCAACCTACCCACGTCCCACGGGCCTCCCCCAGGACCCGTCGTGCCGGTGTGGTCATTTTCTGACCACCCCGTCATCCACCCAGTTCCTTTACCGTCACTGACCGAGCCCCCCCCCCCCCCCCCCTACCAGCCTCCCACCCCGCCCCACCGGCCGCCCCCAGGGCCCGCCGGTCTGATCATTCTTTCCCCCACTCCGTCACCCACCCCGTTCCTTCACCGCCCCCCCCCCCCGCCCCCCAGGGCCCGCGGGTCTGGTCATTCTCTCCTTATTACCGTCACCAACTCGTTCCCCCAGGACCTGCCGGTCTGGTCACCACCACGGTGAAGGCCTCGGAGCTGAAGACGCGCGGCCCCGGCTTCTCCATGGCTAGTGGACCGTTCGTCATCAAGTCGCCGGGCGTCACCTCCTACGCCCAGCAGCTCTGGCTGAGTGCCACAGTCGTGGTCGGCGACGGCACAGGTATGGAAGCTGCGAGCGACCGTGACCGGTGATTGTGCTATTGAGTGTGAATGATCCATTGATCCATTGACCTGTCTTTCATCGATGAATGGTGCGATTCTGTGGATTTTTAATGTGATATTTGTAGGTGTCAGGGTCAGGTGTGATGTGACTGTTGATGGATTGATTGGATATTTTGTCAAGTTCTGGTATGGATGAAGGGTGGATGTGATTTGATTTATTTCGTGGTGTCAATGTCAATTAGTGAACGTAACAGGTTTGCCATCTAAATGATGGAGTCTTGGTAATTTGTGTCTTTCAATCGTGCTCGAGTTAAATTGCGTGACTCGCTGGTTAATCTCTAACGAGCATAGTTCATACTCGATGTTGTGCTTTCATGCTCTGTATATCAATTTGCTTTTGCTTTTCTCAGCTGATGAAACGTTCGATAAGCGGTTTACGATTGCCGTGGACGTCGAAGGTCTTTCGGAGGGCCGCGAAAAGCTCCAAGTCTTCAAGGAGGACCAACTTTTCAACAGGTACGCTCTTTGGCTTGGTTTGGGGAATGATATGGGATGCCATCTACTACCTACCTAAGCTTCTTTTTTATATTTTTTCACTTGATAAGTACGAACTTGTTTTTCAAATATCCACTTCTCAATATTGATAGTTTGGTATCCCTGTTGTCGTAAATGTCCGTAATCCCTGTTCATCAACCCTTTGATAGGTGTGTTTTTTCCGTGCAATCGCCGTTCACCGTTTGTTATCCTGCCAGGAGCCGGCACCTGCACTGCCAGGAGTCGAGCTGCGCGCCCGTGACGCTGCTGCACCTGGCCTACCTGAGCTTCACCAACTACCTGCTGGTGCTGCGCTTCCACGGCCTGGAGGACATCGACCGCCGATACACCGTCAGCGACGTCCTCTTCGCGGTCAGAGAATAGCGCGGATGGGATGGTGTGAGAGTTAGAGTGAGCCACGGATGGGGTGTAGCGGCGGAACACCTTGAATTAAGGGGGGGGGGGCACTGCCGACTTATGGTCCCATTCTTTCCATGTAACGCCCATAGGGCTAATGTTAAAATGCCAAAATCAAAGGGGGGTACGGTGCCCCGGTGCCCTCCCCGTCCCGCCGCCTATGCAGGTGGGGTGTAGTTGGGGGGGGGGGGGGGGGATGAGAGCTCGTATAAGCCTAATAACTCATATCCTCGCTTTGTTATTGTGACTTGCGAGGTTGTGAATTTTACGATAAAGCTGACAAGTTACCTTACGTTTTGCGCTAGGTTGCAACGAATAATCACTCGATTACTTATTTGTCGTCACTTGATTGCAATTCCGACTTAAACTGCGAATTAGTGCGTAGAATTCGGTGAGCACATGCTATCCTCGTCATTAGCGACACAAATATCACGGAATTTAACGATGACCTTTGCAGCTTCTGTAGGTAATTTGGAATTGTTACAACGAGTTTTAAATATGTGATGTCCGCTCTCCACTGTTCTACATGTTTACCTCCCTGACATCTGACACTCCCTCCATTTACAGTTTGAACGTTTTGAGGCAAACTTCACGCAGCTACAGCTCTGGTTCCGGTTCATATTCCTGATCGTCTCCTTTTCCGCCACGGTGAGTTACTGGCTGGGTAGATATGCTTGTTTGATACCGTTAATGGCGGCATTAATTATCCTAACTTCATTCTAACATTATGCACCGTGCTAAGTCGCTAGCAGACTTAAGAATAACATTTATTTATTCGATGTCATGGAACAACAGGCGAATTAACGCCCAGTAACAGTCCATAGCAGTTATACGTTCGGAGCAGTGTAAACATTGCCTTTAGTCTTTCGTCTCATACACATACAATCCCTCGATATACCAACCATATCTACCAGTATAACGCCTTATGGGGCGACTAACGGAACGAGCGAGAGGGTGGGCCTTGCACGTGCGAAATTTCGAGGGGGTACCTCCAACTGACTTGTGCACGGCACCCTACTAACCGGTCTCTAGCGATGTGCCAAATTTGAGCACAATCGGCCCAGCCGTTCTCGAGATCTGGAAGCGGCACCCTGCACGTGCGCACGTGCAAAATGGGTCCCAACTGACTTGTGCACGGCACCCTACTAACTGGTCCCTAACCGTGTACCAAATTTGAGCGCCTTCGGTCCAGCCGTTCTCGAGATCTGGAAACGACCCCTGCACGTGCGCACGTGCAGCAGCACCCCAACCCTAACACATGCAGATGAATTATGTGATGGAGACCTAACTGTGTACCGAGTTTCAATTCAATCGGCCCAGCCGTTGTGCCGTTATTGAGGTTGCAATTTTGGGGGTTCTTAAAAAATGTCCAACTTTACCACGCGCCACGTGCGGTGGTTGGCAAGAACGCATGGTGGCCATCACACCACAGAACTTTTACGTCCAAGTGACATTCAGTAAAGAAGACCGCTTGTCAATCGGATGTCCCGTTCCTAAGATATTAGCTTTTGAAGAGCGTCCCCACGGCCGGCCGGCCGGCCGGCCGGCCGGCCGCTCATACTCAGAAATTTCCGTTATTCTACGTAAGACTCCGCTCGCTTCGCTCGCTCCGTAATCATCCGTAATCACAGTCCATACAGTACATGCATAACACAATAAATACAGTACACATCCAGGACTCACATGTTTTGTATATGTCGTCTTACTTTAACCCGAACATCCCGCATTGAGTCGTGAAACAAATCCAAATCTGTTATCTCGAACATAAATTCATTTATGATAGTGGGTGCCCTAACAAAAAGCGAACCTTTCATAGCGTCGACCCGCTCAAATGGTACATTCATGACACCACGAGCTCCTTCAATCCTCCTTGTAATTCTTGCATAATATAACATGCTGATAACGCTGTGGATTATCAGGCGCGTGATGATCGATCGGTGATATTGCGTCTACGCCCCTCCGATTCAGGGACTTTTGATGCCTGAAGACGCGCAGGTTCCTCTTTCCTCTCTCCTACTGGCCGCCCGGCCCCATCCCGTGCTGGCTCGGGTTCACCACATAACGCTTCTCCCTCCCCCTATCCCCCAGTGCTGATTCGGGTTTACAGTCTGACCCTTCTCGCCGATTCTCTCCGATCTAGTTCTGGATAGGACAGTGCTGGTTGTAGGTCTCGCTGCGCCGCTCTCCGTACCTTTCCGACTCTGCGACTCCGACTGGTTCAGCCTACCGCATAACCGTCCTCCCACCCCCACCCCCACCCTCCCCTCAGTGCTGGTTCAGGTTACCGTATAACTCTCCTCCAAAACCCCACCCTCCCCCAGTGCTGGTTCGGGCTCTCGCTGTGCCGCTCTCCGTACAGGACTGGTTCAGCCTTCCGCATAACCGTCCTCCCACCCCCACCCCCAACCTCCCTCAGTGCTGGTTCAGGCTACCGCATAACCGTCCTCCCACCCCCACCCCCAACCTCCCTCAGTGCTGGTTCAGGCTACCGCATAACCGTCCTCCCACCCCCACCCCCAACCTCCCTCAGTGCTGGTTCAGGCTACCGCATAACCGTCCTCCCATCCCCGCCCTCCCCCCAGTGCTGGTTCGGGTTCTCGCTGCGCCGCTCTCCGTACAGGACTGGTTCAGCCTACCGCCTATAACTCTCCCCCCACCCTCTCCCCAGTGCTGGTTCGGGTTCTCGCTGCGCCGCTCTCCTTCCCAAGACTGGTCTCTGGAGCAACGCTGGACGGCCGCCCTACTGCCGCTTCTGGTGGCCCACAATAGTAAGTAACTCTGGTTCATGATAGCTCGTAACACGGGCTCATTATGCGTAACTCAGACTTAAATGGCACGAAACCTATTCTCGCAATACTATGTAGTATGTAACTTTCAGACTCACAACACTACCTTGACAGCTTGACAGCAGTTTTTTTAAAGCAACTAGCTTGGTAATGAGTTTTGTAGTCGCGTGATACGTGTGAACTTTAAGCATTATTAATTATATCGACTTTTATTTCGTCAGTTGAGTAACTGAGTTGTAACTAATTTAAGTTCGTGAGTCCTTGCTAATGTTGTGGATCAGCTGCCGCTGTTGACGATCGGCCGTCGCGCGCCGATCCGGTGACCCAGTTTTGTCGATCAGCTGATCGTAATTTGTCGGCCGGCCGCCAGAGGCGCTGTTTGTCCTTCTCGCGACGGACCTGTGTGGCGGCGGGCGGCCGGCTTGTGTGGCCGAGAGTTTTGAGCATTAGTAAGCGGTTACAGTGCTACCTTCGTGTTTAAATTAAGTTCAATAAAGTTCAAGTAATCGTAACATTCAGCGGTGGGATTATAACCGGCGCCGCGTGCCGCAGTCGGCGTGAGCGAAACCGATCAGTGTGCCGAAGATCATCGAAGATGGCGTCGGCCGGCAGCGGGAAGAGCGTTAGCCGGACGTGACGTCACAGGGAAGCTTCGGGACTATTCCGCGGGTGGCGCCACCGGTCAGGTGTGTCATGGCGGCGCCCAGTGTGATGATGTAAACAAACTGAGTGAACGGATACCGGACGGATAATCTGTGTGATACGGGACCGGTGATGGATAACTCGGTGGACACGAGTGCCGGGGCGACTGGGGCACTGAGCCTGCCCCTCCCCGTGTTCGAGTACGCCGAACCACGGCGTTTCTTCAAGCAGTTTCGGCGTTATGCGAGCTTGAAAAACCTGTCGGGCGTGGTGGCCCTGGACTTGATCTGTTATGCCCTTGGCTCGTGCAGGCGGGCGGCCTGGGTGGCCGACCGGGTTGAGGCAGAAGTACAGGCTGCTGAACGGGATGCTACAGTCAGTGCTGCTGAACAAAAGGTGCTGCATCTCCTGACGCCGGAGGTGATGAAGGGGCAGATCCTTCAAGGGCTGGACCAGCGTCGTCTGCAGCCAGGCGAGACTCCGCGGGAGTACGTAGAGGCGCTGAAGAGTCAGATTCAGCAGGTCATGCCAGAGCTGACAGCCGAGTCTCTGGACCGCATGACCATCGTACAGGCGATTAAGGGTGCGCCAGAGGTCTGGTCGCACAAGCTGGGAGAGGGCGACCTGTCCTCGCTGGACCAGCTGGTGACTCACATGACTCTGCTCCATGGCAAGCAGAGGTCAGCAGCGAGGCGCTGCCAGGAGACTGGAAGATCTGTGAGTCGAAAGTGTTATTCGTGTGGCCAGATGGGACATATTGCCAAACAGTGCAAAGGAGGGAGCCGGTCAGGCGGCTCGAAGGGCATCAAGTGCTATAAGTGCGGAGGTGTGGGGCACATCAGTCGATACTGTGCCAGTGGTGGTAACCGAGGTGGTGCCATGGGGAGTGCCAGTGGTGGCACCAGTGGTGGTGCTGGCACCAGTGGTGCAGGACCAGGAGCTGTGACGGCCAACAGGCGAGTGGTTGTCGGTTCGACGTTGAAGCTGGACGTGACGGTGAATGGACGGCTAGTGCAGGATGCAGTCGTGGACAGCGGCAGCGAGCGGACGCTTCTGTCGCGATCGACGGCCGACAGGTGTCAGCTGCAGCTGCGACACAGCCGAAAGGCTGTGGTGGGAGCTGGACAGGAAAGTCTCCATGTTCACGGAGCTGCAGATGTGGTTCTGCATGTGCCGGGCACTGCAGGTGAGGTGACCATGGAGGTCCTGGTCGCCGAGTGCAGTGACTGTGTGCTACTCGGCACAGACTTTCTAAAGGCGGCTGAAGTGGCTGTCAACTTCAGTACCGGTGTGCTCTCATGTTTTGGACAGGAGGTTAGAGAGCCGGCCGCCACCGTGTGCCGGTGTGTGGTGACAGATGGTGCGGTGGAGGACTTCGAGGACAGTCTGGACGAGGAGGTGATGCCGTTCCTGGACCAGGTGAAGACACAGGCTGACCTGTCTCACCTGTCAACAGTGGATCAGGAGAAGCTGAAAGCGGTGCTGGACCAGTCGGACGTGTTCAGCTCGCCAGGGCAGCTCGGACGAGTCACAGCTGTCGAACATCGCATAGAGCTGATGGAGGAGCCGCGGAAAAAGAAGCCGTACCCGATTCCGCCGGCTCTGCGAGAGACTGCCAACCAGCAGATCGCGGACATGCTGTCAATGGGCGTGATACGGGAGTGTGCCAGCCCGTACGCGAGCCCGGTGCTTCTTGTAAAGAAGAAGGGAAGCAAGAGCTTTCGAGTATGTACTGACTTCAGGGAGCTGAACCGCTGCACCGTGAAAGACTCTTTTCCTCTACCTAGGATAGAGTCGCTGCTGGCGTCGATCGGTCCCAAATGCCGTGTCTTCTCGCAGCTCGATCAGAAGGCTGCGTACTGGCAAGTGAAACTGGACGAATCGGCACAAGAGAAGACAGCCTTCGTCACCGATCAGGGGCAATTCTGCTACCAAGTCCTGGCCTTTGGTATGTGCAATGGACCGGCAACGTACCAGCGGATGATGACGACGGTGCTGAAGGACCTGCTGCACCAGTCAGTGGTCGTGTATCTGGACGACGTACTCATCTTCACGGAGACTCTAGAGCAGCATGTCGCTGTTCTGAGGGAGGTGTTCGAGCGGCTCGAGCGGAGCGGGATCCGCCTGAACCCCCAGAAGTGCCGCTTCGCACAGTCTGAGGTCACGTTTCTGTCTCACGTGATCTCTGAGGGGTGTATCCGGCCGGCGTACGACAACGTGGCTGCGATCACGGCCTACAAGAGGCCGAGCAGCGTGAAGGAGGTGCTGCGATTCGTGGGGATGGCGGGCTACTTCCGTCACCTGATTCCTCACTTCAGTGTGCGTGCGGTGGGTCTGACTGATCTGACTCGCCGGCACTCGTTCGAGTGGACGGAGGCAGCAGAGCGGAGCTTCCAGGATCTCCGGAAGGCGGTGGCTGCCTTCCCTGTGGTCCGGCCGCCGGACCCGGAGCAGCCGTTTCGGATCACGACCGATGCGTGCTCGCGCGGCTGGGGCGCGACTCTGAGCCAGTGTGATGGTGATGGCGAGTATGCAGTCGCCTTCGCTTCGGGAAAATGGACGGACTGTCAGTCGCGCTACACGACGACTGAGCACGAGCTGCTCGCTGTGATTCGGGCCGTGACCAGGTTCCGATGGTACGTCCTCGGGACTGAGTTCGTCGTCGTGACGGACCACCAGGCGCTCAAGTGGCTCTGGAGCCTAAAGGATCCGTCTGGTCGGCTGGCTCGCTGGGTCATGGAGTTGTCCCAGTATGACTTTACGGTGGTTCACCGACCGGGGACTGCGATTCCCCACGCGGACGCACTGTCCAGAGACTGTGGTGATGGTGACAGTGCTGGCTGTGTGCCAAAACAAGGACTGTCTGGTGATGCTGGCTGTGTGCCAAAACAGGGACTGTCTGGTGACCGTGCTGGCTGTGTGCCAAAACAAGGACTGTCCAGTGTCAGTGTTGGCTGCGTGCCAAATGGTGACTCGTGTGAGCTGGCCGAAGGTGACGTGCCGGCGACGGTCCGAGCTGTGGAGCTGAAAAGCTCGGCGGCTGACGAAGCTGCTGTCGGGGCGGAGGCGACGTCTAGCCGGCTCAGCCTGCCAGAGCTGCAGCCGGCGACGCGGGAGGACCCGGTGCTGTCAGTTGTCATGGACTGTCTACGGACTGGGAGCACGAACGATGCGAGACTTGGTGACGTCGGTGCGTTCTATATGCGTGATAGAGACAGCCTGTTTGTTCGTGATGGCCTCGTGTACCGACAGACCATTTCAGACCGTGAGCCGCAGATAATCGTGCCGTTAAGCATGCAGAGTCACGTGATACGTCTTGCTCACGATGTGCCAATGGCGGCGCATTTCGGGTTGAAGCGTACGATGAGTCAGATCACGCGTCATTACTACTGGCATAACCTGAAAGTGACCGTGCGCGACTACTGCCGTGCATGTCTCGGATGCGCGCGGGTGAAAAGGCCGAACCGTTCTCACCGAGAAGGTGTAGGTAGTGTACCTGTCGTAGGGGAGCCGTTCTCCCAGTGGTCGGCAGATATTCTTGGACCACTGCCTTGTTCAGATGCTGGGAACAGGTACGTTCTAGTCGTGTCGGACTTGTTCACGAAGTGGGTGGAGACCTATTGTATTCCTGACCAGAAGGCCACGACCGTGGCCGACTGTTTCGTGGAGCTCTTTGCTCGTTTTGGAGTGCCGAAAAGCATTCTGACAGATCAGGGCACGAACTTCGAAAGCGCGCTAGTTAAGCGGATTTGTGAGCTATTGGGGATCCAAAAGCTACGATGCACGTCGTACCATCCACAAACGAATGGTCAAACCGAGCGGTTCAACCGAACTCTGTGCGATATGCTCACCCATTATGTGAGTGAGAACCAGGCTGATTGGGACCGGTGGGTCAGTGTGTGTGTGTCAGCCTATCGGTTCTCACAGCACACCACGACAGGATATTCGCCGTTCGAGTTGGTTTATGGTGTTTACCCGCGTGTGCCCGTTGTGAGTGAGATCATTGGTGACGCAGATAAGCTGCAGTGTGACACTTACGCGAATTATGTGAGTGACCTGAAGCGCCGTCTCGAGGTGGACCGCGACCAGGCCCATCAGTCACTGCAGGACAGCCAGTCGCGCTCGTCTGTGGCTGGAACGAGTGACATTGAAGTAGGCGATACGGTGATGCTAAAAGTGCAGGCAGTGAAGCGTGGTAAGAGCAGGAAACTGTCCGCTCGTTTTACTGGACCATATGTAGTCGTCAAAGTGCAGCGACCTGATTATAGGATTAAGCGGGGACGAAAGCAGGTGCTTGTGCATGGTAGTAACCTGAAGAAAGTAGAAAGTTCTGTGCGGGACGATTCAGAACGGGCGACATGTGTGACGGTTCCTGTCACTGTCAGTGTGTCTGACGAGGAACCGGACCTCGGTGCCTGTATTCCGCTGTTAGGTCGGACCGCTGTCGGGCCATTGCTGGCGGTCCGCTCCGATGAAGTTTCCGGTCGTGTGGACTCGCCGAGTAGCGCTGAAAGTGAATGTGCTCTGTCGGACTCGGATAGTTCGGATTCGGAGCCGGACGGAACTCCCATCCGTCCGCCAACTGCTGTTAGCCGCTATGGCCGCCCAGTGCGACGCCCGCAACCGTATTCGCCAGGTTAGGCCCTCGGGTGTGCACCTGTGACCTAGGTGTCCGTACTTTTTGAAGGGGAGGATGTTGTGGATCAGCTGCCGCTGTTGACGATCGGCCGTCGCGCGCCGATCCGGTGACCCAGTTTTGTCGATCAGCTGATCGTAATTTGTCGGCCGGCCGCCAGAGGCGCTGTTTGTCCTTCTCGCGACGGACCTGTGTGGCGGCGGGCGGCCGGCTTGTGTGGCCGAGAGTTTTGAGCATTAGTAAGCGGTTACAGTGCTACCTTCGTGTTTAAATTAAGTTCAATAAAGTTCAAGTAATCGTAACACTAATGACAGCTAATGACAGCAAAGGACACCAGCCGGCAGCCGCCAGCGAGGTCGCGTGACTCAGCTCGTGCCTGTTTGTCTCCGCAGACCCGTTTTTCCCGCTGATGTTCCTGTGCAGCTCGATCGTGCCTCGCGTGCTCGACTCGCTGCTACAGGTGACCATGTTCTGCGCTCTGCTGCTCTGCTGGATCTGCGTCCTGCACGGGCTCAGACAGGTCAGTGGGCTCAGCGTGGCTGGCCGATCAAACAGATAATCAAATCGAAAGCATCATATCAAATTGACGTGAACTGTTATTGACCAGGATATCTTCCCCAAGTAGCGTAGCCCCAGTGACGAGTGTTATTCACCAGTTACCTCACATCTCGTTGTCAGGTGCTTTTTTATTGTCCACAAAAGAAATGTGAGGTGTGTCAGTTCCTGATGCTCCCGAAATCTTTCCGCAGACGAGTCGCACCTGGCTGACGTTCTACGTGCCTAAGCTGGTGCTGGTCGGTCTGATGTGGTTGCTGTGCACAGTGCTGATCGCCTGGCGCGGCTACCACAGCCTGCGGGACCCGACGTTCACGGGCACTCAGCTGGGACCGCTACAGGTCAGTGCGGCCATCCAGAGCGGCGCCGCTCCACCGGTCACAGGGCGGGTCAGGCAGGAATGGCGCAGTGCTGACTTAGGAGCGTTAGGTTGGGTCTTCAAGTTGTAGAGTATGCAACGGCCCAATCGGGTCTTTAAAAGTATATATTACAGCATTACAAAGAAAGTCATATGTTGTACCCATGCATGTCCGTTTCCTTTGCATTTACGACGCTTTGTTATGCAATGTTTGTCGTGATGCACTTGCCAGGTGGGTGCACAAATGCCAAGTCGCACGTCAAGGAATGGGAGACTTAAACAACAAATGAATGAGAGAAATGTCTCAGTGAAAGCCAGTCACAGTTCGATAGATATCGAGCAGTGATAGTGGCGCCGATGAACGTTTAATTCATGGTCTGCTTGGTAACTAAAGGAAGGCGACCTTTCGCAGGGCGTGGACACCTTTTTCTACGTGCTGGGAGGCGTGTACCTGCTCTACGTGCTGATATTGATTCTGCGCGCCTACAGCGACCTCAGGGCGATGCCTTACCTCGGTCAGTGGACAGAGGGGGTATTGTGGTCCCGTGAAACACTTCTGAAATGTCGGATAGAACAGGTGCAGTGACAGGTTTGTTTGTTCAGCGGTTTGGTGCCAACTGGCAGTTTCATACAGACGATTTTATGGCTGGAAGCTCTGTTCGCGATGTTCCCGCGATATCAACAATCGTGAAGATTATTTGGTCAATAGAGACCTAGGCCTGGGACACTAGTACCGGGTGGCGAATTTGCCAGTCGCATAGACCATTTGATATGCCGCTTGTGTGCGTTACGTCCACATATACCTTGAAAACTCTGTTTTACGCTCATTTTTAACCCCCCCCCCCCCCTTACTTTATGCTGAGACCAACCTGCCTGGTGTGCGTGCGGCACTAACGTCCATGCCTTACCCGTCCACAGGAGTGCGTCTGAAGCTGGCCACCCTGTCGATGATTGTACTCGCCGTCGCCAGTCTGAGTCTGATGTCTCACCGTCTGCGCCAGTCCGGCCTCGGACTGAGCTTCTCGGCCGTGCTCAGCACGCCCTACACCACGTCCACCCAGTTCCTGGCCATGTACGGCCTGGTCAACAGCTTCGTGCTGTGCATGGCCTGGGTGTTCTCACCGCCGACCTCGGACCGACCCGGAGGTGAGCGGTCCGACGTGACACCTATAAGGTCCGATACCGATAAGAATGAGCGGTGTGGAAATGGAGGCTGGAACGAGGCCCAGGTGCCGTGCTACTGGGGTACCTGCCGGAGCCTCAGCCATGGGCTATAAACATCTTAAAATTCTTCTACATGTGCCCAAGAGCCAAGCTTATATAATATGTATTATGAGGATGACAAAGTTCAGTAAACTGTTACATCGGGATACGGACACGAAATGATTTACAGGTGACTGTAAGTGATAGGCGGTAGGTGGTTGACTGACCGTGACAGATTTTGACTAACGACGCTGTACAATCTGTAATTGACTTGGTAGATCGGTACCTGCGTCTAACCTCGCCCCTCGACTGCCCTCAGGCGACTCACGTGTGGTGAAGGATAACCCGGCGTTCTCGATGATCAACGACTCTGACGAGGACGTCATTTACGGCGAGGAGGAGGAGAGCCGACGGCCGCTGCACCGCAACAAGCCAGACGACGACGACAGCGACTGAGCGGCGTCCTTTGGGTAGAGGATAGCGACTACTAAGGGGCGGGGAGTGTCATCAATGACGACAGCGAATGATAGGAGAAGAGCGTCCGTCGGGCAAAGGGCGGCAACTGATGAGCGTTCCTTTGGCAGAGAACAGTGTTTGAGGAGAGATAGCTGATACGGCTACCATGGTCTCACGTGCATAACTCGCACAACGGGTAACCTGCAGGTCATGTCATGATAGACAAGATTCCAGACGGAATATACCGAAATTGTCATACATGACAGGGTCCGGGGTGATTCTCATTGATTTTGTTAATTTGAAAAACTTACGTCTATCGGGCCAGCCTAATCCTTTATTGACTTCCCCTAGCAAGTGAATGTGAAGCGCTGGCAAAAGTACGGTCTGGGCCGTCAACAAAGGGTTTGGTGAATGTAATAGGGATGGCCAAGTGCCAGCGGCGCTCGCCTCCTCCCCCAGTCTCCATCGATGCAGGGGAGTACCGGCTGACCGTCGGGCCCACTTCCTCTCACCACCCAGAGAAGGTCGGATCGACTCTCCGACCGAGCACGGCTTTATGAATGAAAGCCGTGCTCTGTGCAACCGAACCGGAAGGTCTCGCAGCTGATCTCGATCTAACTATCTTCGTATATGTATGAGTGCGTCGCGGAGCGGAGGTTCGGTGTTACGTTACAAATCCATCTCGTGCTGAACGCTTACCGCTTCTCCGCTCAAAGAGAGCATTTATTTTCCTACGGAGCGTCGCTGGTGTACCGAGCTACTTGTCTGTTGTCCATTGTATGCGTTTGTGGTCGATGTATGCCACGCGGGCGCTGTAAATAACCTGTGTTGGTGTGCTTTGTCAGTATATCCGATGAATCTTATGCCATGATCTCATTCAGTATATATCCGTACATGTAACTTGTCAATTTATCGAGCTTGTTATGTATCGAATGTATGACAGTCTTGTGAACTGTAGGTACTTTTATTCCTCACCTATGCCTCATGCGCCATGAATTTTGCTCTCATCCTGTCTTCCTCGCATGTCTCCTGGCAGCAGAGCGATTTGATTATGATCATCTCCCACCACATTGCCTTCTCACAGCGCGCCTGTCTGAAAGGCAGACTCGCTCTCCACCTGTTGTGATTGTGTCTGAGCTCGCCCCTGCTCAGTCCCTCCCTCGGGCGACCCGCCGACGGAGCTCAGCCCGCCGCACATTCCATGCATGAGTCACTAAGCACTAGAGACGTGCCCCGCCCGCCGTCTGCCTCCCATTCCTCTGCGTAACACCACCTGTCCGGACAGGGGCGTTTCCCTGCCCTATTCTGTCCAAATGGCCATCTGTCTGCCCCGGCCCGACCGCCGCAGCCACGTACGCAGCCCGTTCTGGGTCAGCAGGGAGTAAAAACTGTGAATAAAAACAGATCAGCTTGACTATTGATCTATGCATTCGTGGGATGCAGAGCAACGGGGTCGATTTCGGCAAGGCATCTACAATGAACCAAAAATCGAACTACAAGTATGTTTCATGGGCCTGTGCGGCGCAGCATTTGCTCTTATCTGCCAGTTCAGCATGTGGGATAAATCGGCTAACAGGAGCGTTCTACCCGAGCGGCGAAGTAGTGAAGGTGCCCGACTTCTGACAATATGACTGGGGGTTCGAGACCGAGAGCCGACGAAGAAGGTATGTTGACTCACTGTAGGGTGAAAAAAACTAGGAAAATGGCGCATCAAAATACGATTCTTACAAACTAATGTCTATTACATTCTAAGCGCGTTGACAAGTTTCAGAACATGCTCGCTCAGCAAACAGCTGATCGAGAAAATAAATACCGAACTTCAATTCAATCTATTGAACATTGCAGGTGAAGCGTGACTTGTGCGATTAGGCATGCATGATCCGTATGAAAATGACGCTCTCTATAACTACCATCCTACAAGCATACAAACACTAACGTACAAAATACCTACTACATTCGTTCGTCCACTCGAACACTTTTATACAAAATACCACCGTTATTAGTGGAGAGCGGAATTGCGTTTTCAAAAACACTAGCAGCAGCAAAAGGCTGTCACAAACTATAGCGGAAAGCAAGCTGCAACTCTGCGCGACTCCCCTCTCACGCTCAACTTGCACATCATCAGCACACGAGTGCTGACGGGAGATCAATTATTATGGGCTGCCCACTTTTGGCTGACGCAGTCAGCTCAGGCTCCGTCTCTGTCCACGCGATGTTGTACACGCCATACAGACGCAGAAGAGGAATGGCAAGAGGCGAGGAAATCCCCTCAAAAGCACAGCGGACACATGTTTGCATATTTAACTTACAATTACAATCGCATCGAGGAACAATCATCAGCCGGCTCAAGCAACGTCGCAAAACTCTTCTCTATGGCCTCATCCAGTGAGGTCTGCCAGCTCACACAACCTACACCGACACAACACCGGTTCCATAACAGGTCCAGTCTGTCCTTCCGTCCGTTCACCTTCACAGACGTGTGAGTTGTAGCACCGGACACCATGTTTTCTCCCCCACACCCTCCGCAGCGGTGGGGACGGCTCCACCGGGCCGACCTCACCCTCCACAGCGTCCGCTCAGCTGCGCGGTCCGTAGGATGGTCCGAGGAAGTTGTCGGCGATCCGGCCCGCCTCCCGCAGTCCACTGAACATGGCGCCGTGCACCGTGGCGGGGTAGTTGCGTACTGTATGCTCACCGGCAAAGTACAGACGAGGCTTGGCCTGTGGATAGGGGTGTCGGCTGTCAGTGGGACTACAATACATTGAGAGTGAAAGAGCACACTACCGTACGTTATAGACATGAATACGCGCCACATAGCGGGACATAAATGCTTCGAGCACACTGTTGGACGTGAGCACATGACTGAACGTGAATACTGAGCACATGGCTCAGTGATTAGCACGTCTGAGCACACACGATGCTGGTCTAGCTGGTGCAGAACCGTGGTCTCGGTCCTCACCTGGGTGTCGCCGTTCTGTTGCTGTGGCTGTTGCTGCTGCTGGGCAGACAGTGAGACGGGCGCCGACATGACGTCGTAGTCGTTACCCGAGCTGCCGGTGGCCACGAACGAGTAGGAGCCGCGCGACCACGGGTCAGCGCGCCACCGCGTCACTATCGTCTCCTTGGGCTGGCGGAACAGCGGGAGGCACGGTCACAACGGGAGGCACGGTCACAGCCACGGCAAGGATGTGGCCCCTAACAGGCAGGACGGTCACATCAGCTCATACGATCGCATATAACGGGGTGGAATCCCAATGATGGCCCGAAGAACCGCGTGTGTGCGTTCGTGCGACAATACGATGGCAGCTGCAACAGTGTCGTTAGTAGTGATATGCGGAAAATATGGCGATGGGTTCTGTAACTGTTCGTGTGGTGTTCATTTGCCAATAAGCGGTATTGAGTTACCCTATCAAAGGCCGGCACCTACCCTGGGTACGCCGCTGGAGCCGAAGATTCCTTTCAGCACGGCGATACACCTCCCGACAATCACAGCGTCTGTGACCGTCTCCATAATGGCTGCCGCCTCCCCGGCCACCAGGGCCAGCAGGACAGGGGCCTTGTACAGACTCCAGAACAAGAACAGCTCTCCTGTGGGACACAGGGACAGTCACACAGCTCAGTGCAGCCCAAGCCATCAACTTTCCAACATACGATTTTCCCACGTCTTCTAAATGAAAAAATGAGCAAGAAAATATCGCGAAAGACAGACTGATACAATAAGTTACGTTTGCGTAGTGCGTAGATGATGGTGTGGATGTGGACGCGCGTATTACGTAGGTAATAAAAGCCTGTACTATCACGGCTGATGACCCTTGTTCACGACTGGCCGCCGGCAACTGTCAGCGACTGACCTCGGCTGGTGGTGGTGCTGCCCACGTGGCCGAACAGGTTCGAGTTGGGGTCCCAGAACATGCGGTCGAAGCAGAGCACCACCTTGTTCAGGTTACCGAAGCCCAATCGGTCGATGACGGCGTGCTTCCACTCTGGCAGCGGCGGCTCGAAGCGGGGACAGTTGACGCCGCCGCCGGCCGCTAGCGAGTGCTTGAGCACGCCCAGCGGCAGGGTGCACAGCACCGCGTCGGCTGAAGACGAGACAAACGGGACGTCAGGGGAAGGACACCACACAGTTACTGACATACTGAGCGCGCTCAGTGACAGACCGTGCAGAGCATTGTGTCACGTGGACACGAGGCAGGCATGGAGAAAAGGGCTGAGCCCCTGGCATTTTGAATGCTACCAAATGCTAACAAATTAGCCCTAAGTTACAGTGGCTTATCATCCAAAACGCAACTTTTCAGTATCCCTTCGGGCTCACACACACCCGTCCGCCTGTCTCATCCACCTCACCCTCGAAGGTGGCCGCGACGTTGGTGCGCGGGTCGTTGGTCTCGACCCGCACACCGCTCTGGTCGTGGCTGATCTTGGTGACGGCGGTGCTCAGTCGGATGTCCAGACCCTCGGCCATCGCCACCGGCACACATGAGTAGCCGTTACGGACTGAGACAGGGGAGGGGAAAAGAACGGGAATGGTTAGTGCACGACAGGTGATACAGCTAAATGCTAGAAAGGCCGAGTTATAGCACCGGCTCAGACCCAGAAGAACCAGAAAACTCCGAAGCGGCCCGAGACTCGAAGACCTAAGAGGTTCAAAAAGCTAACAGACAAAACAGCAACATGACAAAAACGCGTCACATCACAGCTGAATCTCTGCACTCTAGCCAGCGTCAACGGGCAGCGTTCCCACTCCCTAAGCCTCGTACCTAATGTCTTTCTTGTTTCGACCACAAGTAAGTCGAAGGCAAAACGGCCTCTACATACTCTTCTACTCCCAACTGATCTTCTAATCTTCTCTCGTCTCTCATGACTCATCCTTCTGCTAGTATCAAAACGCTCAGCCTCTGCTCTGCCCTTCCCCTTTTCTCACCGGTCAGGTGGCTGCCGGTGAAGACAAAGTCGTCATCCTGGTCCCAGTGTTTCAGCGACAGGTTGGACAGCGGCGTGGCGTTGGCAAACTCCAGGTTGGCAAAGTGCCAGTCCAGGATCTGACGGTCCCGAGACGACAGGTACACGTCGCTGCGGATGACAGGGGGGCGATTAGTACCTAGTACTTCGTAATGTACTGCCAGGCAGTGATGATGGAACCAGTCCTTACTGGCGCAGTATTCTGTTGACCGAGGGGACAGACAATCAGCAAAACTGGCAGTCGGTGCCGGCAGCTCTCTGCTCCGGTTTATTTCCTCGATGGTTGCTCACCTGGGCGGGGAGGCTTCCAGTTCGTGCAGCTTCTCTTCGATCTCCTTCTGCTGTTCATGGAGCGAATCCCATTCCTAAAACAAACGAATGTTGTCATTAGACAAGAAACGCACGACACCTACGTAGTACGTAATTTCGCTGATGTGAGGCCATAAGAAACATATTGAATTTTGTCGTCCTCAAACATCAAGACATAGTTAGTCGTCCAAAAAAGGCATTAAAAATGCAGTGCGTTACCTTCAGCGCGCTGCTGAGGTCGTAGCGTTTGGTGCGGATCACAAACTCCTGCGTGATGTCCTTGCCTGTCTTCTCCTCTGTGAGCTTCTTATGCTGATGGTGCAGCTGGCGGATCCGGTCTCCGAGCTCCGACAGCTGGTCCAGCGGGCCACAAAGGTCAGTATCCGGGTCATGGGAGTGGGTCGCGACATAAAACAGCGGGTGACCAGCTTACGGGGAAATGGGGGACTTAACGAAAAGTCAAACGGCAAGGACAACACTGAAAAGCGGTTAAAAGAGTGTGCTTAAGGTGGTATTAGCGGCTAGCGATAAGTGTAACTGAGAACAATTACCTGCAATCTGCAGAGCTAGCAATAATTGGCAAAACTAAGAGGCACTTTTTCTCACAGTGGCAGTGTTCAAAAGCGTATATCCGGGCCTTTTATCAACGCTCTATAGTGATTTAGCGATACCATAAAAATATATTTTGCACCGTAGAGTAGGCCCACTTCAGATAGCGCACGCCCAACTCACCCTGTGTAAGTTTGCCTTCAGTTTCTCCTGAAGTGAGATGATGAGCTTGAAATGAGCCAGCTGCTTGTCCTTGACTGCCTTCTCCTGCAGCCTGTACGCGCAGAGCGCTCGGATTAGCTCGAGGGGAAAACAACTATAACGAACATACGAGGGCAGATTGTTTAACTCAAATGCATCGGTTAACAAAATAAACCTGCATATATGTAAAATCCATCATATACAGAAAAGCAAAGCTTCTTCTCCGTTAATGGACCTACTTGATGACCCAGTCCAGGGCCTCGCCGAGGGAGAGGGCCCGGTTGCCGACGTAGTTGAAGTCGAGCTGGTGTGAGATGTAGCTGGTGGCCTCCAGCAGCCGGTTGAACTCACGCTCCACCATCTCGTCCTTATCCTTGGGCACCTCCTGAAACCGGCCGGGAGTGAGCCAGAAGCGTCGACAAACAGGGGTATCACTGCGTGACTGTACAACTGTACCGGTTGTTGTGATGTTATAATGATAAGGACTGCAACTGAGCCATATTCGGTTATAGCCTGCAGTTTTTTTTATAATCGATCCCCACAACAGAAGAAACGTCTTCATGTAAAAAAAGCAAACCGACAGTGACTCTTCTCACTCTTGTATTACAAATTACTGCCTTCATCCCGTTCGGCCGATTCCCGGGCGGCGGGCGTTTGCGACTCACACTGCTGCCACTGCTCTCGTAGAGAGGACACTTTTGTTTGATCTTGTGCAGCTCCATGTTGATCTGTTTGGAGACGATGGCGATCGGGTTTCCGCCGAGTCCTGTTACCACCATGGCGCCCAGGTCGGCGATGTAGTTGCCCTTGCGGAAGGTAGCGATACGGCCTCCCACACGCTCCTGTAGAAATGGAGAGAGGGCGCGGACGTTAGAACGATGGCGACAAGACGACTGCAGGTGGAGTCTGGTAGTGACAGTTGGCTCGTGACATTAGCGAAACATACATACTTGACTTCAATGCGGATAACTGGGCAATCACCAGCTCGTTAGTCACAGATAGCAATTAGCCCCGTTTTAAAAAGGGCAATTAGTCCTATGGATAGTTGCATCCATTGCCCATGAATAGCACACGTTCGTTTTATGGGTAGCACAGTGTGCCCGCTAGACAACGCTTTTTCTCTGAAGCTCCCACGTCCGCCTATGTCGCTCACCCTGGCCTCCAGCACGGTGACATCCATTCCAAACTGCTGCAGCTGTCTGGCGGCGGTCAGACCAGCGATACCGGCCCCGATCACCAGCACACGGCCCCGCTTCTCACTGGGTAGTGCCTGAAACAATGGGAGGGGGTTCAGACCGGGACCGGCCGCACTTTTCACTCGGTAACGCCTGGAGCATCAGGAATGACATCTCGATTATCGATTCCACAACAGCTGAAATCGATTGAAGGGAAGATGAGAACAAAGTCCGTTAGATTGATGCGCTGCATGAGGCTGGTGTCCGCCATTTACAAATGACGTCACCCAGACCCTATACCTTCTCCAACAACCCATAAATCGGCCAGCACACGTACGCAACCACCGATTCAAATGTAATCCCGATTAATAGCCACTTACAGCTATTAAACGAACAGCTTACCGAGAGATAAGCCTCATTAATGGCCGCACCTTAAGCGCAAGACACGGCTGTCGACATCCACTAGCAACAGGCACAGTCGCAGACGTCCTGGGTACGGAGCGTCACCGTCGCCAGGTATAGTACCGGTCCGTCAAACCCGTGCCCAGTTCAATCATCTTATTTAACCATGTTTGAGTCATCATATCTGGGCTAGTTAAATCGGTCTCACCAGAACACCCAGACCCGTCTCACACGGTGCCGTCCGATCAGTTTCACCTCCCGTATGTTACATTGGCGTCACCTCACCTGGACACGTTTGAAGATGCCGAAGTTAATGTAGCCCTGGCGGGCGAGGAAGGCGTGCGTGCGCTGTATGAGGTTAGTGTCGGTGTTGTACGGCGGTTCGATCTGCGCCAGAGCGCCCGAGTAGGTCAGCTCCTCCTTGGGGCTCTCGATCCACAGCTGCAGCTGAAAACGGAAAGAGGTGGCGTTAGGAGGGCTAGTACAGGGTACCAGACCAGAGTGGAGAAGATGTATTTGACTATGTATGTGTCTCATGCGTCACTGCAGTGCATACGTTCGCAATATCCTGGCAAGTTACGAACAAGAACAAGTCTGTTGGAAAAAATGCATAGATGATGACAGGACGCCAGTGTTTGTCATCATTCCACCAATCCAACAATGCCAAAAAGCCTCCTCCCAAGCACCCCGCGTCGCCGGCCTCACCAGTCTGTTTCTGAGGTAGATGTAGAGTTTCTGCGTCTGCGGCGCGCCGTTGGCGATGTCGGGCAGACAGCACGCCTCCAGCGAGGTCAGTTTGTCGGACGGCATGCGGCTCTGGAAGGCGGCGCCCTCCAGGCCGTGGAACCCTGACAGACGAAGACGGTGATTATAAGCGGCGTGCGGCATTTCACTGGAATGGACTTCGCATGCCACTCACTTCACACAAAAATCCAACCGCGTCGGCTTTTCCATATTCGCACATCACGCATTTGACGAATAACACAAGAGGATGAGTCATTCATACGTTAGAGCTGTAATAGAGCTTTCGGGCACACCGACAATGGCGACAATTCATCCGGAAACCTAACCACGCTTATTACGTTGAAACGGAATACCGTCGATAAGCCCAGTACTGACTGGTCGCTGCTGGAGCAGCACAGCGCACTCTGTCAGCCCCTCTCCCCACTGACCAGCTCTCCAGCCTCGTCTCACTGACCTGTGGCGGCGGCCAGGTCATCCTGCTCCGAGTCTGGCTCGTCCTCCCGCTCCGACTTGGCCGACGGCGTGTCCTGTCCGCCGCGTCCCCCGGCCACACCGCCACCGCCCTCCGTGGGCCGGCTGACGCTGTCGCGGCTCTCGGAGCCCGAGTCCGTCTCCAGGGGGTCGTCCAGCTCCTGAAAACAGCGGTAGGACGGCCGTAAGGTGTGGCACAGAGAGTGTCTGAGACATAATTCACTGTCAGAAAAGGAGCTGTGTTTTAAACGAGTCTTGGAACAAAAGTTTATAACACTAACTTCACATGACACGTCCATTGAAGAAAAAGGAAGGGACACAGCCGGAAATTTAAAGGAAATGCAAGTGCACAGTGCAAGTGAGACGACTTATATACCACAAACAGTAAGAGTAGTAACACAACATATTCAGCACCAGTATTACAGGCACAGTTAGGAGTTAGGATAACACAGCAGAGGAGTTAGGACATTTCTAGTCATCTCACCTTTGTTCGCCTCGCCTTGATGGCCTTCTGTCCATCCTGCTCAGCCGCCTCCCGCTTGCGGGCGCTCTGACGCTCGGGAATCGGCTCCTCGCCCGCCGTCTTGGCCGGCTTCTCCATCACCGCTGCAGCTCAGGACAATCTAAAACTGGACCACACATCAAATTATGCTTATCTATAATGACACAAACTTTCTATATGCAGAGGATAAGAAACATTTAAGAACATCAAAATGGATAATCTGACCCGATTGGTAACCCTTTGAGAGCATTATTAATTGAATAATAAACAATTTAAATACATGCCTAAGGAAACCAACTGAAAATTACTGCACTCCCAAGTCCCATAAGCCAGACAATGGACAACCCATCACACTTTTTGGCATTTATCAGCAATAAATTATTGTTCATCATGCTGCTAGTACTTATGTTTATATGTCATTGAAAACAGGATTTAATTATGAATACTCTGAATGACTGCAAGTCATGAAAAATATATTACATCTTGTCTGTGTTGGCCATGTCCTTGTTCAGCAGGAGTGGATTAATAATGGAATGTGCCTTGGAACAACATTGCAACAGTAGCACAGTCCAAAGTTCTGTGTGGATCTGCCACTGACTCTGGATGCAATGCAGTGGACAAGTGGAGTGCTAGAATGCATCCCTTTACAGCAATGTGGGTGCCCATTGCCATGAGGAACTGTGGCACTGGTGCTTAGGATGCCTACCGAAGTATACATCTACTCTGCCTATCAAACACAGCCAAGAGTGGGGCTAGCTGATCAATGATCCAGTTCTTGAACTTTGACAAACTCTCAGTTAGTAGTTTTGTGCCTACTAAGGTATTTCATGGCCTAGTTAGGACTTTTCTGGTGCAGATTTACCTTCTGGTTTGTGTGGGCTGGTGCATGATGCACCACATTGTTATAGCAGACCATTCTTTCCCTTTCCCATTTTGCCCTCCATATCATGGAGGCCAAATTACAATATAAATGCAATAAAGTAGAGTATAAATGTAACCTGTGCACTGCGCAGGTCCATGCTGAACCTTGATATGCCCATTCATAAAGGGTCATAATGCAAAGAGTGGCAGGGAGTTAATAAGCCACATAAGCAGCACCAAAAGATAGGTAACACGCCCTAACCAGTAACCACAGAGGACGGAAATTGTGCAAGAGAACATAAAATTTCACATTAATTTGGCATTCAGTGGTCCCTGCTAACTCTGTGATGCATGATGATCTGCAGAACTGCACCAGTGCCCAAGCTCAGTGTGTCACTACACTGGGCCCAAGCCACCAACCACTCCCCCCCCCCAACATGCCGAAGCACAGCCATATATACTGTAATTGCAATTCGCACCTCACTGCACCATTAACAATATTCTTACAGAAAACCACAAGCAAATACAAAGGAGATCTTACTGCATGTCACATATCTACTTTTCAGTTTGAATCTAAGGCAATTTTTTTATTTCAAAGCTACAGAAATTCACTTCACTTTCACCAAATTTTTATCTTGTAGTATGACAAAAGGATGCATGAAAAATAATGCATGAATATTCCAGCTCAAGCTAGTGTTACAGCTTTGCCTCGTACACAAAACCACAAAATATCAATCAACAAAGCCTCAATTACCGGTATCTACCTACCCAGCCGATAAACGTAAAAATCAAGGTAAAAATCAACAAAGCAGCCGGCAGCCACCCATGCCATTTGCAGCCGTGTTCAGCGCGCTCTCACCAATGAAAATCGAAACGCAGTGCAACAGATACGAAAATTTACATTCGCATCATAGAATGCTACTGTACCATGCAATTAAGCTAGTTTTATGATAAAATGGCGTATTTTTCAGAAGTTGTATTTAAAAGCAGTGCAAAATTATTATTGAGCCACTAAATATCTGTATAATGAGGAAAAACCAATTTCACACATTCACAGACAATTGGTCGAATGTTACCGACGCGAGGAGCAATCGAACACAATGGAAAGAGAGGACATAAATCCCGCAGCCGTGACATGATGAAAAAGAAACAAGACTACTAAAATGAAATAGCTCAGATTGCATTATATAATATGGTACTTACTCATAAATCCGGAATCAGGGCAATAGCCAATAGATAATCGCATTGCACGGAAGACAGCTCTAACAAAGCTTTGTTCTCAAAACGTCATCTGGTTTATGACTCAGTAACCCTTGGCCTTTTTTATTTTTGCCTGAAAATAAGAATATCTGTTTTTTTTTAGTGAACAAGAAACAGTGCATAACGAATAATCATCTGTTATTTTGTGTTCGTCTGTTTCGGGTCACAACAGCGTGCATGATGATGAAGCAAAGGTTTCCAATATTTGATAGGCAGCCAGGCAGGTACACATAGTCAGAGGTGATCCCAGGTCAGGACCTGACCTCGTCGACAGGTGACTTGCCCCGCGTTCGATATCTCTCGGACGGCGAAGATTCTACGCCGTCCGGCCAATCACGTTCCATAACCGCAACCGAGCCCCCGCTGACCTTGGATGGGATGGGATTGGCCGGACCTTTAGTGCCCTGGGCCGGACGACGTAGAATCTTCGTCGTCAGAGAGACATCGAACGCGGGGTTAGTTATATGACCTGACCGTCAGGCCTGTCCTAAGTTACCGCTGTATAGTGTATCACCAGGTCTGTTAGGATTCACCGGATTCACACACGCTTCTGATGGCTGGAGCTCATAGGACGACTGCCAGCTTCCGGGCCGGTGCAATGGACCCCACCGGTGACCCATAACTACCTGTGTTCGGTCAGGTCACGACCGGGTTACCCAAGGCAAACGTTAAATAGCCACCCGTCCATCCAGTCCGGCCGCATCCCACCTTCCCCGGACTGATCGATCTGCGTTCCAGTGCGTGCGACCGATCCGGTGCAGCGCGGCAGTGCAGCACAGGGTATAATATGGTGCAGCACAGATCAAACGGTCACCGGCCGGTCACGTCGGTGCTGAACGGCCGGTCCGGTCGGGTCAAACTCGGGGGCACAGCCCGAATCCGGACGTCCTGAACTGGTCCACGAGCGGTCACGGTACCATCGGGAGCAAGGTACCGCCCCGTTGACCTGCCTGTCAGCGCCAGCGGGCTGGTCGGTCAGGCCAGGTCAATAGCAGGCCAGCCAGCCGGATCGGACGTAAGGAATGCGTTGAAGATTGAGTTCGGCGCCCGGTCGAGACGGACGGCCGACATCACGGCGCTTTGTCCTGTCAGTTGCTCTATTCAACGTGCTTTTTAAACGTTTATTACCAACACTTGTGCGTCGCACTTCGAAGACATCTAGAGAAAGTCTTTTTTCATTCTTCGAACTTCGGGATGAACGTTAATCGGTACGGTACCGATGCACGGGTCAGGTCAGGTATGACTGTTTGTGCCTCGGTGTTCTGTGTCTCGATCCACACCCAACCCCATCTGTATATCTATTTGTCACGCCCCGCGGCGGCACAATTGGTGGCCACCGCCCACCCGTCTCATCCGGCACTCGACCACCCAATGTTCTTCTGTATAAGACTAACAGCCGCGACGAAAAGCTAGCTTTTGGCATATAGTTATAAGTATAAAAACATATATACCTAGGTATAATTATCAAATAAGTAAAAACAACGGTCCCAGTTATCGTTATGTCCGTCTACGAATATTTTATGGCTACATGCTACCTTGAATGTCATTCTGAAATACAGAGTTTTAAGGACGGTCAAGTTAAAAATAAAATGCATATATCCAGCACTCAGACACATTCGCTCAGAGCTATCAACGAATGCCATAAAGATATCAAACGTCAGTTTTGTCGTATTCGGTGATAAGCTAGCAGTGATTGTGACTCGGCTTTTCTCCCACATCCCCACCCCGACCCGCCGATGCGGGCGGTGGCCTTCGTGGTCAGGCCGCGCCGGTACCTGAGGCGGGGGGGGGGGGGGCATGGGGTACCCGCGACGGCGTCGGTGAAGGAGCGAGCTGCCGTCAGTAGTCGAGACGAACCCGCACAGGCATCATGTGGTCTCTGGCGCTCCTCACCGTCCTCTGCTGCGCCAGCGCCGGTGAGTGTTGTGCACGATGACCGATACAAAGGGTCATCGTGACCCTTTACAAAGTGGTAGCTGAGTGCATTGGAGCATGTAACTGTAAATAATTCCAAACGTCTAAAATACATTCCTGCGACTGCTCTTTCATTACAGTAATCGACATATATCAACATTCCACTGAAATAACTGGCTCAGCCTATGGCTCCTCATACAAAACACGTTTTCTTTTCCTATTTTGTTGCTCCAAAAACAGTAAAATACGTACGTAATGCGAAAAAAAACTTTTGACAAAAGCCAATATTTAACCGAACCATTGTGTGCCTGGCGATGCCTCATCATGGCGTTATCAGTTGTCCCTGAGCGCTGCCCTTGACTGGCTGGCGCACCTCCACTCCGCCTCCCAGGTATCACAAACCACCGCAGAATAACAGACGTTCTGGGAGCCTCCGGAGGGCTTATCCCGACTGCCGTCAGCACTCGGCATTTAGTGCCACAGTGACCTTCGGTATCGATCACCGTATACCCGAGTCCCCGGACAAACCCCGAGACGAACGGCCTCATCAGGCGGGCTTAGCGGGACGGTCAGACACCCGGGAGGCGTCGTGCGGTACTGGACGAGACGAGTTGCGAGGCTGTAAACTGCCGACGGCACGAGCACCGTAAATAATCTGGCTGAAATAGTTTCAAATGCGTTATGTAAAAGAAAAAATATAAGTTATTAGCCTCAGTACCTATGAGTGTTTGTAAATCAAAATGCAAATAACCATACCAACAATATACCTGAGTCTGACAGGCACAAATAAAAGCTAAAGCTATCGAAAGCTTTTAGGTTGGGATATCCAATGCACAAAAATGTGAGATGTTCCTTCTCACTGACATGCACAAAGCACACATTGCATACTGCACAGTGAGCCATAAGGACCCTGCAGTCTGCACTTCAAAGACGTGTTGCATGTACCTATACGAGCACTGTGTACATACGTATCTAACGGGCTGGTCGCACGATATAGATACCGACTTGCCTTCATCTCAGCTCGACCGCCTAGTGGGTAGGCCACCCGCACATGATGGAGGTCAGCCAGACAATTAATACCAGCCGTGCCCGTGCCAAACGGCAGAGACCCGTTAGGAGTATAATCCCCAGTTGGTGGGGTATGCTACCGCAATGACCGTGACATAGTTATGGTGTGAATAAATAAACACCTTGCCTAGCCTGGGACAGAATAACGGCATTTGAGGGAAGGTGTCTTGTCTACCAGTGCCGCATAACCACACGCATTCAGGCTATCCCAAACGCATAACGCGTGAGGTGTTCACGTCGGTGGCGAACGTGCCATTCCTTTTGACCCGACGGCGTGTGGATAACATTAGAAATAGCATTAGAACGGGTAGGCTAGCATGAGAAAATCGATAAAAAAATCTTCCACAGTTGTAGTTTATGGTGACCTCCACTGTGTCAAATCTCTCAACCGTCTATCAGTCATCATTCGACCAGTCATCTAATGCATCGACAGCTGAGCGGTCTGCCGCGAGACCGAGAATGCGCCACTCTCTGCCTGGCCGCTGTTTATGAAACGATGGTGAAGCAGGTGAAGCGAGATTTAAGTCAGTGCTGATAGTGGCGATACAATGCTGAGAATATACATAGGCATGGGTATTATTTGGGTATATGAGTGTGCAATTAACTCTTCGTGCATTTAACCCTCGCCCATGTAGGGGGGGGGGGTTGGTGCAACCCCCCCCCCTGAGGCTTTTCGGAAATAGTGCAAAAACGGCGGCGCGCAGCGCCGCCAAATTTTGGGTACCTTATGGGGCAAACCTTGCGCATCTTTTGATAAAAAAATTTGACCGGGTCATGTCAGGTCACGGAGTTATGACGTCACAAAGGGAACAGCCTCCGGCCGGATTTTCACAAACTGAGTGCCAACGCCCGAGGTTTCCTGCCGGTGGTACGGAAACATCGGCTGATGGATCGTGATGAAACTTCCCATGCATGTTGGGGCAAGTATTGGCTATCATATGGTATAAAAAACTTGACCGGGTCAGGTCAGGTCACGGAGCTATGACGTCACAAGAGGAACAGCGTCCGGTACTATTTTTGAAAAGCGCCCGAACCACTATTTTGCTAATTCTTGTCACCTCAATGGGAATATGCAGCAATATTAGCTTCTATAGGGAGCAAATGGACCTCCCAAATCCAAAAATACAATCAGATTTCAAAAATTTAAATTTTGTTTTTTTCGAATTTCTGCCGCCGACTGTGACCTTGCCGACTTCCGGCGCTCCCAACGCGCCATTTTTAGAGCTAGGGAAACAAAATACATACCAAACGATAGAGAATTGATCAAGGAACACGATAGTGAAGGTTTCAAGTCGATATCTCCCACCGTTTTGCCGCAATCGCCGCGGAAAGTTGAAAAAGTTTATTTTTCCGAAAATTTGACCTTTGACCGGTCAAAAGTAGGTCAAATGTTGACCTATGACCAAAAAATATACCACCAATCGCGAGATCTCGGCGAGAGCAATCCGTTGGTCTTTTCCGCTAAGCCCTACGACGCTCCGTTTTCAAACGCCAAGGGGGGTCGCACCAACCCCCCCCCCCCTGCATGGGCGAAGGTGGCAGATCGCCGTTTACGGGCGAGGGTTAAAAGATTTTGTTTCTGTGTTTCCAACGAAAAACAATAATCAATTTAAACGGATGGTGGACAGCTCATTGCTATTTCGTATAACCAGGTACCTATAAAATACCGATTGTTTAATTCAGTGTGTACTTTTATGCGTAGACGTAAGCGACTGAGGGCGAGTATTCAGTCGTGTCATGCTCACCAGTGCCACTGTGGCCCGTGAGGTCACTTATGACCACAATCCCAACGAATAAAACGTCTGCACATAGGCACTCCCTCACAACGCAACATTTGCTCTGAATTTCAGTTGTCGGTCAAGATGTGGCACGACCGTCCTGCGATGACCCGGAAGTGGAGGCTGCCTATGAAGATCCCAGCGGATGCGACAGGGTAAAGTCCGTATGATTTTTAACCCTAAGTCCCGAATGTCCATGCATAATATATCACGCATATTACGTATATCACGTATATCACGTATGCTGATACGCATACGTGATATACGTATATCACGTATATCACGTATATGCATAATTATCACGAAGTCCATGATAAGCGCTCAAAAGTCCATGCATGTTGTTTGACGAACCTATAATTTTCGGTGACTCTTGTATGTCTGTCGGTACGCTGATCCCCGACCCATTTCGTACGAACACAGCCCAATGTCTGTAGGGGAGAGTGGGGCACATTCGTGCAAAAAATGGATAAATCCATATGTCTGTTCTTTGGTTAGTGCAACGGCAAAATTGTTGATTGTGGTATGGAAAGGAACTATTGCAGATATTTTTCCTCTTTAAAAGTTATCCTCTAAAATTATTGCTTCTATTAGAAAAAATGACTTTTAATAACTGGGGCATTCCACGATAGATCGTACCACTTTTTTCCAATTTGACACCCTCATCTCTCGGATTTTAACGATAATTGGTCTAAGGGGTAATCAGGGGCTCTGAATCCTCCTGTAACAATTTCAGGCTTATCAGATGAGTGGTTTTTGAGTTATAGTGTATAACATGTTTTGGATCTTGCGTTGCAGCCCCAAGTTTGGCGGGCTGTAACTCTAAGACGGATAATCCAAATGCCAAATGTTATACGGCATTGACCTTGCATTGAAAGAAAGAATAATATGCATTTTTAAAATTTTGAAATTTATATTATTTTTGATATATAACAGCTCGAGTTTCCTTTCATTTGCATTTTTATGCCTTTGGGACCAAATTTTTTTGAATTTTTATTTACTTAAAAACATTTTTGGATCATTTTTAAGTAGTATGCAAAAAATTAGAAAGGTGTTCTTTCTATAAATGTACTTATTTTGCGTCACCGTAATGGTTTCGAATTGCGATTTCGGAAGAGAGCCTACAAATGGTGTGGTAAAGCTGCCATGTGACATCACTGGTTACTGAAAGTTCAATTGAAGTCATTTTTGCCTCACTTTTGCATTGTTGACCTTGCGTGACGTCATTCGTACGTCACTAGGGTCATAAGAGTTTTTCGTCAATAACTCTCGATCAAATTGAGCTAGAGAGACGGGAAAGCTACCAATGGACTCGGGAAGACGTTGCGAATCGAATGATGTGCAATATGATCTCATTCACCCAGCGTCGTGGCCTGACCGGACTGTTAACCATCTCTGTGGCGGCGCTGTTTGTCCAGCGCCGCGCTGGTTGGCTTTGCCGCGGACTCGGGGCGGTCACGTGATGCCCGGCGGCTGGCTGCCGGCTGGGCCGCCCGGTCGGGGAGCGGAGCCAAATACACGGCAGTGTGCTGACCCGAGGTCAGCGACTTAAGCTGACCTCACCAGAACAAACAGTATACCATTCGACGCGCCGGAGCTAGGCAAACACAAAGATGCTAAAATCGCGGCTCTGCGACCATTTGTTGCGAAGTTATCTATCAAAAACCGGACCCGTAATTTGGGTCACTTGAAATGACCTCAGGGGTCACCAATGAAACCGAGACCTTAAAATGTGGTATCATTCGATGCATCTTGTAACGGCGCACATGCTCGTTTTTTTCCGCAAGGTTCTAGCTCCATTAGAGGCGAAACGGCGAGCTGGGGTCGTACCGAACCCCCGGAAACCCATTTTGTATACATTTAAATGAGGAACTTATAGAAAGAACACCTTTCTAATTTTTTGCATGTCGATTTTAAAGGACCTGAGGTTTATTTTGAAGAAATAAAAATGGCAAAAATTTTGGTCCCAAGGGCCATTATAGACAATTTAAAAAAATACTACGACTTTTTTCAATATGTAAAGCTTTTCTTTCCAATTTTGAAAATGCTGTATTAATCTTTGATTCATCGTTAGTTCAAAACTGTTTACCGTTTGTTGCTTGCTTAGCTCGTTTTTGAGTTATAGCTCATCAAACTCACCCTTACAATCTGAAGTTTAGAAAATATTATGCAATGTAACTCAAAAAGTTTTCATCTGAGAAGTCTGATATTTTGGCAGGTGTTTTTGGAGCCTATGATTACCCCTTGTACCAATTTTCATTCAAATCTGAGAGATGAGGGTGACGGGCCTGGTACGATCTATCGTGGAATGCCCCAACTCTGAACGTTTGCACGAAAGTGCCCCACCTATGGGGCACATTCGTGCAAGGGGTGGGGCACTTCCGTGCACCCTGCAAAGTTCTAGAAATTACCGGGCATTACCAGAAATTTACCAAAGGAAATTGGCAGGGGGTCATTTCACTTGATTCCTTTCGACAAGAATGCATTGCACAACATATGTAGAAAGAATGGGCTGGCCAACAAGAATGTTCCAACTGCCGGCCTCCGTGACCTCGCCAAGTTCGCGTGAATTACTCGTCACGACGTCGCAAGCAGCCGAGACTGAGTCAGGCTAGCGTCAATAGTGAAACCTACTATAGATAAAGTCATAAATAGCAAAAACTAAAAAAAATATGCACGAATGTGCCCCCAGGCAGTGCGTACACGAACCTGCCCCACAACGTTATTTGTAATATATTTCAAAATTTCTTGTTGAAAAAATGACACTTTGTCAACAAACAAGTTTGCAGCAGTTCCGTGAATAGAGTGAGCACCTTCGCCCCCAATTTTGAAAAGCTGAACCACATTTCCGAGTCAGGATCACGAAAATGGATGATATGAGAACAGTTTGGAAAGCTCACGAATATTACAAATTTGCGTTTTTATTAAGCATGACAGCAGGTACAGTGTTGTCTTCTACGGTGAACGAAGGGCGGCAATGATAGACACATTTCCATAATTTACCTTGAGCTCGTGCAGTCACTCGTGTTCCCATAAACTGCTGAAAACGAATGTGCCCCATGCACGAATGTGCCCCACTCTCCCCTACTCCCGGCATTTAGACGGCAGCGACGGCAATAACCCTCTACCCTCGCTGCCGACAGTACTTTCTCTGCTCGAACGGAACGCTGACCGAGGAGGTATGTGAGAACGGACTGCTCTTCTCGGGCCGCGGGGCCGTCCACGAGCACTGCGACTACCACTGGAATGTCGACTGCGGAGAGCGGCCCTTCGAGCGTAAGTCCCACTGCAACGATTGCTGCTCAGATATCGCCAACTCTGGTAGTGAGCATTTGTCTTCATTCTTATTGTCATTTTCCGTAAAGCCGGCATACGTTGTTGAATATGAAGGCATGCGCATTTGCATATCGCTTTTCAGAAAACAAAGATCGTCCTGTACCGTAAGTCAGTTTGATGAATTCAATGTGCGCAGTTATGCGGCATTCTAGTTCTGTGTTTATCAGCGTTTGTATGCTGCGCAAACGCATAGGAGTGCATCTATTGAATGTAGGTCGTTACATAACTGAGGATACAAAACGGGCAAAAAGCTAGAGGGACTCAAATAAAGTCTATTTTCTCAGCCAATACTGTAAAATGCATGGCAGCGCTATAAGAAGACAACAGTATTCACCATTCAAACATCGGCGGAGGCGAGAAAACAACGCCACCGTTGGTTTCGGATTAAGGCCCGCCATCTTTCTCTGAATCCTAAAACATCGGAGAAGCACAACCTTGACCTTTCCCCTCCTGCTCCACGCGCACCGGCCTACCTCTGACGCAACGGCCCGCCGCCCTTTACAGTGACGCCGGCCCGCGACGGCGCGTGCCCCTACAGTTTCGGCATCTTCCCGTCGGGAGAGGGCTGCGCCGACTACTCCATCAAGTGCGCGTTCGGCGAGGCCGAGCCGGACCTGTGCGAGGAGGGTCTGGCCTACGACGACCGGAACCACGCGTGCAACTGGCCCGATCTCATCCCAGAGTGCTCCATCGGCGACGCCGAGCGTAAGTGTAATCCGAAGTCCCAGGACGGACGCTGGAACTCAGCCGTCAGACCAAACTCCAGCCACAGATATAACCGTCGGTGTTCTGGTAACGGCGACATTTCAAATTTTCAAAAAAAGTGCTCCAGCGTTTATTTCACCTGACTAAGGAATTTGCACTCTCCGACTGGTCACTTGACACAGGACTAAGGAGATTGAAATATTCGACCACTTCAAGCCGCCTCGGCGGTTTGTTTTTGGGCTGGTCTCCTCAGTCGAAGGCCGCTCAAACTGACGTTAAGTGATGGGAGTGGACGTGATGCGAGCTCTGCCAACAGCTCATTTGCATATCGTAAAGACCCGGAGACGTGCTGACGCGTCTGAGCCCCTGTCGCTGCCTTTGATGTGCCTTTCGCCGGTTTTAGCGGCTGATGCTGAATAGCCGCGTCATTAAGTCATCTCGCACAGATGTTGCGGTGTCGTAGGGCCCATCAAACCGCTGTCTAGCACGGTATATTGCAGACTTAACACCGGCCAATGCTCCTCTCAAGTCCTGCCAAACGCTGTCCCAGCCTTGAAATTGATCCCTCGGGAACGTAACCACTAACCATAAACACATCCAAACCGGTCAACAGATGGTCCTTACAGCTAAAATGGGTATAGTTAAAAATCCTTGGCACCGAAATATATGATGTGACCCAAAGCACTACAGTTGATGAATGTGGGGTAATAGGCATGGTAAACGATACAAGCGTGCAAGTGTTTAGTAGGTAACCTTTCGTTTACCGACGATATTATTGATTACGATATTGTACACTGCACCCCCAGGCGCCACCGTAACGCCCCGCTCTGACCCGAATCACGTGCGACCTCCCTCTGTTCCGCAGACCTGGTGGGTTTCTCGTGTCCCAGTCAGATCCCGGTCGGTTCGGCGTCGATCCGGTTCGGTCAGTTCCCCCGGTTCGCCACCGGTCAGTGCGACAGACTGGTGACGTGCGTCAACTACTACCCGCGGCTCATCAAGTGCCCGCCCAGCCAGTCGGTGGACGACAACTCACTGACCTGTGTCAGCAGCGAGCTGGTGCCCGGCTGCGGGTGAGAAGGGGGGAGGAGAGAGAGAGAGAGAGAGAGAGAGAGAGAGAGAGAGAGAGAGAGAGAGAGAGAGAGAGAGAGAGAGAGAGGGAGAGGGAGAGGGGGTAGGGAGGAGAGAAGGAGGAAGGGAGAGATAAGGCGACAGGAGAGTAGAGAAGAGGGAAGAAGGGTGAGGGAGAGCGAAATGAAGACTGGAGAGAAATGGAACTGATGACAGGATTTTAGACGGAACAGTAAAGAAGCGAAAGAGGGATGTAAGCCTTCCAATGATTCCAGAAAAAGTGAGCGAGTGAGTGGGTGAGTTGGACGTTGTTTCCAAGTTCCACCACGACTGACATTTCTCCGTTTTTTTTTCAGAGTGAGAAAGTAAGCAGACATATTCGACAGCTTTAACGAGATTGCGCATCAATGAAATGAGAAGTTCCCTAAGAAAACTTCAAGCTGTGCAGGAAGTACCAGCCCAGCAATACGCGTCTGCTGTGTAACTATGGCAGATGGTAGCTAAGTACTATGACGAAGAATTGTTCATTGTCGATATGTAAACGCAGCAGATCGCCCTTAGACTGTGTGAACACAAGTCACAACATGCACTGTAAATCGAGGATGTGCTGGTAATATTCTCCAAATGTAATACATTTTAACAGTATCACGGTTTTTGAACGGCAAACGAGCGAGAGCAATATTGGACCCAACTGACTTATGTGGACCACCCTTCAATTAGATAGTCTCGGACCACCAATTCAGCCGGTGAATTAAGTCGTATACAGAAACGGAATTTTGCAGCAAACGCTCGAAATGAGATTTCAACTGATTCATGCTCATCATCCGTCGTAGGTCGAGGTAATTGTAATGTGGTCAGTGGTGCCGTTGCAGTATATTCACACCAGTAAAACGCCTTTTGGGCGAAGAACGAGCGAGCGAGATAGTGAGCCCTGCACGTGCGGAAGGGCGAGAGAGTACTTCCAACGGGCTTGTGCAAAGCACCCTTCCAACCGGTCGCCAGCGGTGTACAGGGACCCGCAGTTGCTACTGTACACATATATTACCAATTTAGCATTGCGCTATTATTTGCTAAGTGCTGGCCATTGGAGAAAGGAAATGTAGTGCAAAGTATGGAGGAATAACACATGTTTGCTCCTAGGACGTATGTTTTGTATAATTCCTCTTACCACAACAGATATTCTTCCAAAACTACAATCGTGCTATTTTTCCGCGCCGGCTGCCTCCCCAGAGCCCGTCCTTGGTATCGCCTATAGCTTCTGTTCCCGCTACGTGAATGAAAGTCACGTGACTACTACAGGTTTGCGCTCAGTACTAACACACCTAGCCCGAGGGCCGGTCCGTAGCGGGGAGGGGTAGAACGCCAGAGCTCCAGCGCAGTGGAGGTGGTGGTGGCCCGTATCATAAAGAGGCAACCATAAGCAGAACTACAATTGCCGCAGTTTAAGATTATGATCAAGTTTTCTTTAGATGTATTGATTGACAAGTAAGTGCAATGCTTATCCGATATAATAAAACGGTGTCCAAGGCCTTGGAAGAACTATAAAACATATTCAGCAGCGTATAAATTTCTGATACAGGCCATGACCTTTCACCTTGCCTCCGGGGAGGACCGCCCAGGAAGCCACATACCGAACGAATCGAAGCCTCGCAGCGCGGCGGCAGAGGAGGCGGATAAACCATCGCCAGATCTTTCGCTTACTTATGTTTCCAGAAGAAGGAGGGGGGGGGGGGTGGAGGGTGAGGGCTGTTTTCAACCCACTCACCAATCCTTTCCTTATTAACTTATAGCTTACCGAAAAATGCAATACAATGGTGGCCGTCACGAGATGTAGCGAAGAGTGCCTCAGCCACACCGGTTTTGAGTAAACTTTAAGCATTGGAATTCAGGCCAGTGCACAGTGGGGATTTTTCCGATCTAGCGCCTATTAATTCAAAAAATCTTTTTTGGATTTTTGCTTATTTTTTGTGTCAGTGGGGCTAAGAAATGTCTGAATTTTTCATATATGGCATTGTTTTATCTGTATGTCCACAGCAAAACTAGGAAAAATGCGCCCAAAGTTCACACTCATGCGTGTTTACTCAATGGGCTCAGCAAGGCCCGAAAGTATAGTTCAATTTCATTGTCCTGTCCTGTTGGTTTTAATCTTGCGAGGTCTTAAAGTTGCATATCGTCTGAAAGGCACCTTTATTAGGAATGGAATGGCAAACAGAAAGTATGCCACAACCTTACTAAGGTCACAAAAATGTTATTTACAAAAAACCCTTACAGACACCATATTGAAGGAATGGTATTCTAGATAAATGTAGGAAATCAACAATGTTTTCCGCACTTTTCCACTCCGAAACATATCCTATCGAATTCGCCACTTTCTCCTGCACAAGACAACGCCTAGTTTGGCTGCCGGAACTTGCCTGAACACGGAATATTCGCATTAGAGTATCTTAATACCCCACTCTAGGAGCGCTAGGGCAAACAGCACGATATAGGTATGTTCCGGACATAGGCGAATAATTTTACTTCGTGATTTATATGATGCATATTTTCTGAGACACATTCATTAGGAATAGGATTACAAGCGTTGTAAATTATACATACCGTAACCTTATTAACCATCGCACTTGTGGGGAGGGGGAGGGGGAAGGGGTCGGATAAAACCCCATGGTTTTCCGCAAATTACTCGCGCAAAAAGCGGCCGACCGCGCCGAAACTTTCGGTGCCCTCGAGATCATCAATTTTACATCTAATCTGAAAATTTCATGACTCTGACCCAACTGACCTTTGACCTGTGGCATATTTCTCGAGACCATGTTTGGCCGGAATCGCGATTCGGCGTATGCCAGCTCACATTATCCGCGGTTTCCAGTCTTTTTGTGGTTTTAAACGTTCAAATATGTGAAATGATGTTGGTGCCATGCATAATGGTGGGTGTCAAGGTCACGTGAAGGTCAAGTCAAGGTCAGTGACCTTTTGATGACCTTGGTTCACTTTTTCGAGTTTTACTTGTTTCTAGGGTAGTTTTTAGTGCTGATTTCGATTTTAGCAGCCATTTGAATATTTACGAAGTAATTCTGGTGCCTTCGTTCCATGTTACGAAGCTATCAGTAGTAGGTAACACTTCTATGGATGGCCGGCAGGACGCCTACTAGTTGATCTAACCTGACCTGACCCGACCTGGCCTAAATGCATAAAGACATCGTCTGTGATCAAAACTAACAAGAAATTCGTGATCAGCACCCCAAAATACCCCGTAACACCATAACTTTGCGAAGTTTCAAGAGGTCTCGATTTCCCAACTTTAGTTGGGTCATTAAACTGACTTGGAAAGTCAGCTTATGACCTTGGACTTTGAAATTGGATATATTCGGCCTCATTTCGTCATAGGCAGCACGCTTGACTTTTCCGCGAAGCTCTAGCTTGATCAGGGGCCAAACGGCTGAGCGGGGGGTCCAATTGAACCCCCTATACTATGTTGATTATGCACATTTACAAGTAAAATTCTCACCAGGACACACCAGCCAACATCTGTGCACAATCTGGCTACAATTCTACCTATGGTTTGCCCTCTACGAATAAATACGTGCTAGATCGGAAAAATCCCCACTGTGCAGTGATCCTGAAGCATTATTTTATGTTTGTCGTGCATAAGCTGGGATGACGTGGTTCAAGTTAATTGCGAAGAAACGGTTTTAGTTTCAGAACATTTATGAGGCTAGTCGCGCCAAATAGTATACGTTTGTTACAAAATGTCATAGAATGTTGACGTGCTATCCAGATGATGGAATTTATTTGACACAAGAAGTCAAAAAGTGGCATTGTTAGCCATCCTGCATACCTATAAATCGATTCGTCACCTTGGTTCGAGCTCAATAGTTCTTTTCGCGGATGATCGGTTTCGTTTTCTTTTTCTTTTCTTTTTTTTTGGGGGGGGGGACAGATTATGAGCCAGTAACCACCCTCCCCAGCCCCCCAAACAACAATTGTTGACAACAGGGCTGCGGAGTCGATGGATTTTCGGCGACTCCGACTCCGACTCCGACTCCGGCTTTCAAAAACCAGCTCCGACTCCGACTCCGACTCCGGGCAGAATTGTCGACTCCGACCGACTCCAACTCCCGACTCCGACTCCGCAGACCTAGCAGGGCTGCGGAGTCGACAGATTTTCGGTGACTCCGACTCCGACTCCGGCTCGGGTTTCTAAAATCGACTCCGACTCCGACTCCGACTCCGGTCACAACTGTCGACTCCGACCGACTCCGACTCCGACTCCGACTCCGACTCCGCAGCCCTGGTTGACAAATACTGTGATGGCCTAAAAAATGCCCTCACTCTCCCCTATTTGGGGCTCTCAACTTTGATTTGTTAAAGTTTTTTGTCTGTTCATTATAAAAGCTGTCAAATTTGCCATATCATTTAACTTTTATTGAGTTTGTATTTCACACTTATCTAAAATGAACAATTTTGTCACTGGCTTCTTTTATGAATGGAATTGGATGGTCGCATGAATGAACGAATGAATAGCTCCATTTGAGCATCAGCTGAAATCAATCCTAAAATTTAATCTACCAGTCTGCAACGAAAAGGTTTAAAAACCAGTGCAAGTTAGGTGCAGTTTCTAATCTATGCCGTTTTTATTAAGTGTCTCATAGCTCCTTAATCTTGAGCCGCTTCTCTTACGATTCATCTTATGTGGTGCTTAGATTGTTCAAGAAGTTATAGTATTCGAGCTCGTTGGTCTTAAAAACTGCTATCGAAGTAAATTAAAGTGCTTCGGGCTTCGGCACTTAAAAAACAATCGATATTTAACCCTCACCCACTTAGGCATTTCTTTCCAGCGTCTTACATGTAGCGGAGGGGCGTAGAAACCCTCAGCCATTCGGCCCTTGATAAAAATAGCCAGAGCTTCGCTGAAAAATAAAAAAGAGCGAGCTGCTCGTGACGAGAGAAATCCGATGATTTGAGGGTCCTGGTCATCGCTGACGAGAGAAAGCCAATTATTTTTATGTCCTGGTCAATGCTGAGATCCTAGGTCACTGGTTGACCTCCTAGATCAGGTTAATAACCCAAAAGCACGTAAAAATGGGTCCTGCTAGAATTTCTACAAGTGAAGTTTGCTGGGACTTGGCTTGCTTCTGACTCCGAATTTGCACTTGCTTTGATCAAAGATGATGTATCAAAGCATTTGGGGTAGGACGGCTTACGCCAGATCACCCATTAGGCGTTCTGCCACCTATCCATAGAATGTTAACCAGCACTTACAGCCTTGCAACATATTGCATAGGCACTATAACTGATACCTAAGTATGCCAGTTTTCAAATGCTAAAATGAGTGCTAAATTTCAAACCAACACTTCCTAAAAACCACAGTAAAAAGGTGTGAATTTAAGGAAGTTAACCCTATTAGTGGCAGGCTCTTGGCTAATCCATATTAGTGGCAGGGGGGGCTGTTTACGACCCCCCTTGATATCTCGAGATCTAACCGGCCGATTTTCAAAATTCAAACGGCATTCGATTTGGCTCAACGAGATCTACATTTCTAAAAAAATTAAAATTAAAAAATGTCAATAGGGGGTAGAGGGGGGTAAAAACGGGCAAATTACAGATACATTTTAGACTGTTTATCACGGCGAGGTTTCTGAACCAAT